TTATCACGTCGGCAGAGAATAATGCGCGATTAATTAGTATTTCATCAAAAAAAAACACGTAATTTCTTACTCTCGGAAGTTGACACAGCATGATTTTCGATTCGAGAATCGCGTAACTCAGCACGAAAGAGTTGTTCCTGAAATTCAACGTATGCATACCATGGATGATAAAGTTATCATTCATGCGAAATTATCATGAGCAACGCGTTTATCGGCGCGGGCAAAGTTGCTTCGGACATGAAAGTCTATCCGAAATGCCGTCATCGCGTCGCAACAGCAGATATCGAGACGTGCGATTGGCATAGACTGGATGGGAAGATGTTACATAAAGTAAAAGATTTTCGTCAGCACAGAGCGGTTATAAGTTACTGCAGAGAACGCGCAAATGTATGATAGCAACAAGATGACTTAATGGTAAAGATTTAATCGGGCGTGTTAGCTTGAATTTAAGCGAGAAATCTTACATTAAGCGTATAGACGAGCACGCGTATCGATTTAATTGTAAAATTCGTTTATCTAAAGATATATATGTATAAATAAAACGATCGAAGCTCCTCTTACTCTGTAGTAAACTAATATAGGGAAACATACAGTATATTGCGTCAGTCTAACACGATTTGTTTACTATACATAGTAAACTGATAATTTCGGATATAATGGAAGTTAACGGATTCTGCAATTTTTGCCCGATTTTTCTCGAATAACCAAATAGAGCTGCAAAAATGATTTCCACGCAAATGTAATGGAGAACAATATTGCGCGTACGCTGTAAAAAAAAAAAAAAAATGCGCGTGTAAAAATACACAAGAATATCCCTTTAGGGAACAAGCGATTTAGATTGAATGTAAATAAAATCTATGCCGTTTTTTGCACGACATTTGCTTTATTGCTAAACAATACCAGATGCGTATGTGAAAAACATCCGTACGCGCAGTATTCTGAAGCTTATTATTTTTTTGCCTTTCAATTGGTATTTCTTTTTTCTTAGAGAAAATTTTTGTTTTTGAGCTTCTTCTTAGCAATTAATGTCTCAAATTTTTCAGATTCCGATCATATTTATTAATGAATACCAATAAATCCATCTCATAGAATACCGTCTAGTGGATAAGATTGCCATTTTAAAAAAGACAATATTTTAAAATCTTTGCATTTAAATTTTAAAAATAGAAGTATACATTAACATAATTATATATAGCAGCATTCTAATCTTCTTAAAATATTTATCATTTTTATTAAAATATTATCCTCTTTCTCTACCTCGCTTTTTCCGTTTCTCACAGAATAATTCTCTTTTCAAAATTCGAGATGCGGATATGTAATTTTAAACGTCAGTTTCATAAATAATTTCTTATTGATCTCGAGAATGCTATGCTTTTCTTAAAAACTCTTCAAATTTCTTCTTCCTTTGTCCCACTATACATATTTTCCCGCATCTCTTGCGCATTAATGTTAGCTTTTAATTCCGCGTCCTTTATCTACATGTAATTAATTTTATATATATATATATCGGACACCCCTCTAACGCTCCAAGTGAAATTACTGTTTCGGAGTGCGAACGAATTAATCTGTCTATGTATCGTACTCCTGCGTCATATATTTATCTATCCAGCTCCTACGCCAACAAGCCGAAACCGTGGGGCTTTTCAAACGAACAAATAAATGTGCCTGCATAAAAGGCGAGCACGTACAGCGAAAACTCATTTTCGACATTTTCGGAATAGTCCTTTGTGGAATGAGCGATTCGATTTCAACGCATAGTAGAAAAAGGCGCTCCTACCGCCGCCACCACCGCCGCCGCCGCCGCCGCCGCCGCCGCCGTCGCCGTCGCCGCCGCTTCGGAGCATGCACGCCGGGTTCGTCCGTTATGGATCTTACGTCACTCGGACGCTCGCGCGCGGCTCCCGACATCGGCGGATACATTTCGTGGAATTCTCGTTTCTCAGCTCTCTCTTTCTCTCTCTATCTTTCTCTCTCTTTTCCTCTCCTTCCCCCATTTCTCCCTCTATCTGTTTGTCTCTCTGTCTCTGTCTCTTTTTCTCTCCAGTTACTCGTCCCTCTCCATCTCTTTGTGCGTCTCTCGTTTCCATTAACTCTGCACAGCGTTAATATATACGTATACTTATTGCGCCCGTTATACGGCGAGGACACCAAAGCGTTACGCCCTGCGTTTCGACGGTATACGTACGTATATGCATGACGTACGTACGCGTGCACGTGCTACGTGAAAACCGTATCACGAGAACCGTACGTCGACGTACGGGAGGGAAGGGAGGGCAAAGAGGGAGCGCCGGGAGATGGGGAGGATACGCTAACCGTACGTAATAACGCCACGAAAGAAAGGATACACTGAAATACACTTGGCGAGACCGAAGACCGAAACACTGAGACACGCCGGAAGCAACGAGATGTGCTTTACCCCACAGTGTGTGTCCACGGACGGGGTATATACAGGATTCCTCCGAGACGCGGGTGGCGGGTAATGTCATCCTGGATACCTTAAAAACAAGAGACGCGAGACAAATACGGTCGCGGGGGCAATACGCGAGGTATTATAGCTAGCGCGGGATTAAAAAATTTAAAAATTGCAGTATCTTGGGCGCGGCTTAATATACGTGATATATTTTAAGCAAGTTTCTACATATATCGGATAATGAACGCGGGCGGATTTGAGCCCGCGAAAACTCACCCCTCCGCCTATGACCTATGGCAACCGCATTACCCGCTTTGACGCAACAAGATCCGTTTGTCAGCGCCGTTACACACCGCCCGCGCGCGTAATGGGACTTCCGACGAAATATTCTCCGCGGAAACATCCGCACCCTCCCCCCGCCTCCCCATCCACCCCCCCCTTGTCCTCCCTCCCGCCGCAAATTATCTAGGGATCCATCATCGAGATCTCGTTTGTGGCGCGCGGTGGTTGAGACACCCCCGGCCGCGAGACAACGCGCGAAAACCACTTCTTTCGACGGGGTCGCCGTTCGGTCGTCCGATCGAATTAGCGGTAAGCTCCTCGCGTGCGAATTTCCGGAGTCGCTCGATACGCACAATAGCAACGTCTAGGCGACGTATACTTTCCAAATTGCAACAAACGCGCGTTGTGTCCACGGGGTCGAAATACGTCCGTTCTTACGTCACACACACACACACACTACATACATACATCGTTGCGGGAAATGCGAGTGTGTGCGAGTTCACCCGCGCGCTCTTCGCCCGCGATTGGCAGCTACATTTTGAAGAATTCTTCGGACTAACCCGTCTATGGACGGACGGGTTTCTTCGCCCTCCGCGCACCGGCTACCGCCTCCCCCCCCTCCTTCCCCGGCGTTCCATAGTTTTCTCCCTCTTTCTCTCTCTTTCTATCTCGCCGACTACTCTTTTCTGGGCCTACGAGACTTCAACTCCGCGCCGGTAGGTTAGGTGCCCCTTTTTGCTTCATTGTACGTTCGTCGGTACGTTTTTGTGCACATCTTCCCCATTCCCTGCCCCCCGGCCCTCTACCTCATCCCCCTCTGCCCCTATATCGCCGGTCCGCCGCCTCCACCTACCTCCGGACCGCCCTCTCACCGGCCCACCCTATGCCCGAGCGCTCGCTTTTTCCTATTTTTTAACATTTTCTTTTCTTCAATGCCTTAAAATGCAAAAATAAACGAGACCCAGCCGGCCGGGAAAGGAATTGACCGTCGCACGGCGGGCCGGGATTTTTGCAGAATTTACGCGGGCGACGCGAAAAAAGAAACTTCTCTCTGAGAATGTCGGCCGCGACCGGCCCCGTCGAACCAGAGAGAAATTTTCTTTTTGCGCGCACTCCCGAAATTCCGGCCGGCGCGCGCCCGCGGCGGTGCGCGGACAATATGAACGCCGCCGTGGCCCGGAGCCATCGTCTCTGCCCGTTCGCCTCGTGCTCTCTCGCTTGCGCCCGCTCTCGCGCGCGCCACCCGTCTCACCCTGCCACGGCGACGGCTGTCCCTCCCGCACCCGACCGCGCCCGCCGCCACTCCTCGGCGATCTCCTCGTCGCTCGACGTCGCCCGTCGCGCAACTATTGACCGGGCCGGCCGCGGACGGCCGTGCGTCCCGGCGACGTCGGGGCCCGTGGCGGTCGCGGCCGCGTCGCCGATCGCCGCGTCGAGAGCCATCCCCGAGGACGGTCCCGGCGTCGCGGCTCTCGATCCCGCGGAGGCGACGCGACCGTCGCGTCGCCCGGTCGCGCGCGCGGACCAAATCATCCCGACCGCGCGGCATCCCGCTCGCGCCGCCGATGCTGCTCGGCGTCTCCCTCACGCACCCCGGCCCACCCTCGCTCGCTCTCGCTCCCTCCCGCACGACCGCCGCACTCGGCGACTCACACTCCGCCGCGCTCCCACTTCCCACTCCGCCGCCGCACTCGCGCTTCCCCATACCCTCCCGCGCGCTTGCTCGTTCCCACTCCCCCGGTCGCTTTATTCGTCGTGAAACTTTTTATGTTGTATATATTAAAGGGAACGTATCAACCTCCTTTCCGTTAAAGCGGATAACACCAAATTAACCGGCGGCGCCGTCACGTATCGTCCACGTCTGACGTTTTCGGCGTGTGATGTTCCGAACGGAGCGGAGCCCGCTGCGATCTAATCGCGCGAGGTGAGTCATTCGCGCGAGCGATGGAGGTCGTGCGATGATTTTTGTTCCAAGTAATTGCCGAGTCGATTCCGAACTAGACGGCCTCGTTTCTCCAACGGCAAAAACGAAATCGAGGTGTCGCGTGCAACGAGGGAGGGTGAAACCGACGCGATGCGATTTTGGGCGCGGACTCGCTTCGTCCGAGGGTAAGGGACTCACGCTCGCCAAGCCGGGGCAAGCCGGGCATCTCGGCGTCGCGCGCGCGACTTGTTCACTGACGCGAACACGCGGCTGCTCGGACTGTCGCACACACCGGGGTAAGATTGACGTTCTCTCTTTCTCTCTCTCTCTTCCTCTCTCTCTCTCTCTCTCTCTCTCCCTCTACGCTTACGTGGCCATGAGTAATTACGCCGATAGCGCGACGCAACCCTCTCTCGCTACGTCTCGTCGTCGTTTCCAGCCGTTTCCTTTTGAAGCGCTATCGCGAGGCGTAGGACGCCTCGTTTTCGATATTTCTCGACGTATTTCGCAACGAAGTAAAAACGTTGCTCCTGATAAGCTGCTGAAAAAAAAAAAACATTACATGAGATACATTTAAATTGTTCGAGATCCAGCCCAGTGTTCTCCGTGGCCAACGAGCGTCGCGGCGACGCGGCGGTGGCCGGCGGTAGTGGCGGCAGCGGCACGGCACCCTTGAGCGAAAGGGTTTACCGAATTTCGCCGAGTCACCTCGATATTCTCGTATCTCGCCGCCGCCGTCGCATGGCCGGGACCTTAAGGGCCGGCAGGTGAAAGTACCCCCATCGGGCGCGCATAAGACTGTCTTTTTTCCTCGCTGGTGCTCCCGGTCCCTCTATTCCGCCTGTCTCCCCTCTATGGCCGCGCCCCTCCGCACACCCGGACCGGACGTCGCTCTTTCTCGCGCGCGCGCGCGCGCGCCTCCTTTTTTTCTTCTTTTTTTTTTGTTTTCGGGGCGAACGATCGGGAACATGTGGCACGAAGGTTAGCGAGTAGCGTTGCGTCGCGCTCGTTTCTCCCCGTTACGTTTACTTTTGTGCAACGTGCCTCGCCACACTGGCGTAAACACGTTGGAATTTACAACACTTCGCGCCGCGCCGAGCGTGAAAAAATTGTTCGCGCAATCGACTCGATGACGTAATAATATGTTACGCGCGGTCCTTTCGCATTTTCGTCCGCCTCCGTGGAGAAAGAGAGAGCCGCGAAAAGGGAATCGGGGGGGATGCGTCCGATCTTAATATTCAGGATACGATCCTCCGAACTCTCCGGCCTCATGCCGCACGCATAAAAGAGCGCGGCGCTCCGCTTCGACACTCGCTCGCTTCTTGCGCCGACAACTGCCGGTGCAACTGTTCGCCGATTGGCAACTTGACGCGCGAGCGTGCCGTAATAACGGCCGGTATAAAAAGTAATAATCGCGAACGGAACGGGGCACGCGCGCGATTGGTTGCGCGCTCGCAATTCCGCGCGGGGCACTTCCCGCGTGCGCTTCGTTTTCTCGACGCACTATATGTATACACCTCACCGCCGCGCGGCGATTTCGGCGGGCGATAATTCCGCGCGGGCCGATCGATCTCGGAGCAATAATTCTACCGGGCAACGCGCGAATGGCTTTTAAGTATACGTTTCCCGATTCGAATATATACATACGAAAGATATAAATTATAATTGGGAACCAAGAGCGGGTAGTTCGGTGGAAGGTATACAGACACTGACGGTGCTAGTTTCGCAGGCCGCTCCTTTTTGATCGCATCATCGTAGCGAAAATTAGGAAGACAGGAATAAATATCTATATATACGCTATAATTAAATACATATGCACGTTTTTTTAATTCTAAACGAATCAATAGGAATGTGTGATTTCCTCTCTTCTATTTTATCGCTCTCTTATTTCTATTTTTATCGTTATGTATATATAATATGATCTATTTGTTTTTATTTCGTCGTATTTTATAATTCCTAGCTGGGCGCGACAAACGGCGTGATTTTTCGGCGACGCGTACGGCACGCGCGGCGCGATGAATCGTTGCCACGAAATTCGGCAACGCGCGCTTTAATCTTCGTCGCGAACTTTCGATACGTGGCCGGCATTCCTAATTCCGATCGGTCGCTGTCGCCGCCGCCGCCGCAGCCGTCGCCGCCGCCGGGGCGCAAAAATTCTGCGCGTCGTGCGTTTTTATTTCCTCCGCTTCTCCTCCGCTTGCTCTGTTTTTGCTCTCCCTCTCCGCGGGGCGAATGGCGAGAGTTCGCATTATAAATGGGGGAGAGAGAGGGATTGGCTGAGGGGAGGAAGGAAGGGCGCTATTTTAACAGCCGCGCAATTCCATTTTCCTCTGTGTGCGCTTCGGGATACGAAACTTTAAAATTAAGAAAATAGAAAAATTCGAGAGAGCCGGTATCTTTCGAAAAAATATAATACCTAACGAAGAGATTTGTCAAATCTGTCTAATTTCGAAGCTCGATTTTTTTTCCCAGAGCGAGGAAAAAATGGGAAATTGCGGTAAAACCAACGGTTTTATATAAAATACAAGGATATTAAAATAATACGGAGTATCTTCATAATGCGAAATGCTGTTGCACAGCTTTGTGTAAATTCTAGAATTTCTCATAGACAAATAGAATTATATGACTGAAAAAATAGCCACTCTGACTGCTCGGGGATTACGTTATCGCGAATACGTTAATTGTTATCGGAAGATATTCTCGTAGTGCGGTACACTATATCGTTGCGCCGTTCTATTATCGTTCACATATGTTACGGTATTTGTCTGTCTACTTTTAATATCCTTTATATTTTTTATACAGCGCTTTGCACTCACTGATAACGTAGTTAAACGTAAAATATAATTTGAAACAAAAAATATTTTTTTATTATTGTTGGCTTGTATCACTTATTCATTTTCGATAGTACAAAATTTTCAATTTTAGGGACTTTCTTTAATATGAAAACTGACGCATGAATTTCATAAGTTATACAAAACAATTAGGTATATGAATTAGGAATCGCAATTCTTTAGCGTTAACAGATTTCGTAATTTTATATTTCTTATTATTTTGTCAATTTTTCCGAATTTTAATTTTCTATATAATAATATACATGCGTCGTATACGAAAAATTACGAATTTCATAGAGTTAAGCTCGTGAAAATTAGAAAATTTTGGAAATTGTAATTATTCTCGATGCATTAATGGATTTTGTGATTTATATTTTTTTTCTAACTTTCTTTTTATTCTTATATCCTTTTTTTATCTCTTTGCTTCTCTTTTATAATTATTTCTTAAATAAATTTTCGAATTTTGTGTCAAAAGCATACGAAGTGAAATAATATTGTATAAAGTAAACAATGAACGTATAAAAAAAATCTATTTAATCAAATTTGCTAGTTTTATTTTACCGATTTTTGTTAGTTATTAAATTTGTAAATTGTTAAATTCGTTAAAGTTGCGAGTCTACAAATTTCTCGCCGTGAATGTATATGTGAAGTGAAGAGTGTAATCGACGTGGGATGACACAGGAAAGCTCCTGAATCACTTCAGACTACTGTTTCAAATATGATTGCAGAGAAAGACACATTGGTGGACGTCGAGGGATATCGCGAAACGATGAGTGATAAATTTCAATTAACCTTTACCATTAGCGTTTATATTTGTTTCAGTTCCGTTCTTCTGCATCTCATGTTGTTCACGTTATTTCATATAATCAAATTTTTAATCATTAGAAAATTAATGTTAATTATTTAGAATCGAGATAAAATAATTATTAGCTTCTTTCAAAAAGGAGCGTGGTCGAACCTACAGTCTCACGCTCCACACCGTTATGCCTCGCATACTTCCTCATGTCTCATATCCACGCATCCTCACATCCCCGCTCTCCACATCCCTGTACCTCACATTCGCAACTCATATTTTTATATCTTACACAGCCGCACTTCGTCCCCCCTCCCCCTTCCCCTGCACATTCCCATACTTCACATAATTCGTACAGACGCATACAGAGGGAGAAAGAGAGCGTACTTTATTTGGCAGAAAAGCTCTTATTAATTGTAATTAAGTTCGTATATCTTGGTATATTGACTGCTGTTTAAGTTAATAAATAAAGATTAATTTATTATACGAAGTCGAATTCTCTCTATTTCTCATAAAAGATTTCTAGATCATAAATCGTAAAATAACGATGGACTTTTTAAATACAGATTTTTAAGATGAAGATCCGTGAAGATAATCCGAATGATCAAATAACGATTCATGAATATGTGATTACCTACACTCTTAAATAATCACCGAAAATGATTTATAACTGTTCTCATAATAAATGTTGAAGATATGTATTAAATTATGTGATTAGAAAAATAACATCTCTAAAATTTCGGTGGGTTTAAAAATAACTTGTAACACCAATCTTTTAAGAAAGGCTAAATTTAGAAACTTTCAATGACATTCCTATGATATTCTAGCTGCAGTTAGCGTACTTTCTAAAATAGAATGTAATGTAGCGGAGGATGGCGGGGTAAGTAGGTAACGATGCAAGGTCTGTCATCGATGATAAATAAATAAATATTGCGACCAAAATTAAAATTATCGAGTGGCCGGCCGCCGAGTGAACGTGTAATAAGGTCACCCGGAATTTATTTCATTGCGTCGCATATTATGCAAGTTGACGTGCAGTTTGATAAAGAGAGCAAGAAAGCAACGGCTATATTTATCACCGGCGCGCAACCGTTGTGCAACCGTTCAGGAATACACGGAGACCTAGAAACAGGCGCGCGTACGCAGGATAAGATACGCACTCCCCCCTCCCCCCTCCCCATCGCCGCCGCACACACGCCGGACAGTTCTATTAATTCGTGAAAATACCTCTTAAGAGAATGTCAGGCATGTCGCGTTAATTCTTTCGTTAGCGGAATGTTTTTCACCGCGTGAAACGCGGAATATTATACATCGTTCATTTTGTACTCTCCGCTTCAAATATTTCCAAAATACTTTCCACCTGCAAATTTCGCAAATCCCCCCGTGTTCGTCCAAGAAAGTTAAAGAGACCATAATAATGTTTAAAATAAATATAATACGTTAATTTTGCGTTATACTTATACACTGCGTACTGCTTTTTTTTCTGCCGTGCCAGGTATACAGCCCCCTACGCGTAACAATATGTCGGAGATCGAAAAAGCTTTCAGCTTTTGCAAACAGCGTATAATGATATTACAGATCAGTCCTGTGAAAGTTTGATAAACGTCACCTTAAACCACACGCTGGCGACATCGACACCTCCGGGACACCGTTAATACATTCTTCAATATTATAATTGTTTTACACGAAATTATAGAACGTGTTTAATAAATAATCAGCGAAAAGTACGCGGGATCTCGCTCGTTGCGTGCACATCCTAAAATAATCTGTGCGTACGCTATGACAGAGAGAGAGAGAGAGAGAGAGAGAGAGAGAGAGAGAGAGAGAGATAGGAAGAGACGGAACCACACACCGGATCTAAATTCCGTGAATAAATGATATTTCATTAGGGCGGACGAACGAAACCGGGGCTTTGTT